ATATTCTCGTTCCTAAAATGTGGCTGCAACGATGCCGAGACATCGATGTCGCTGTACGTAAAATATGCCGGATCGTAATCCTCGGTTCGTCGAATTTTTTCGCAACGGTTCGAGATATTCTCATATTCCCCGACCTTGCCGCTCGTCCGGTGACTCGGATCGATTTTAAACGGTTACTCGTCGGACGTATCCGGACTTATTATCCGGTAATAACTCCTCGAGACTTCTCCGGAATCGTTTATCGGGTCGCCGCTGGTGGCGAGAGGAAACGAGTGCTCGAAGCGTCCTAGAAACAAGCGTCGCTAGCAACCGGTATTTCCGACAACGCCGATACGGCGAGCACGAAGCGACCCCGCGAACTCGGCCCGCGCGCTCGGATTTTCGACGCGCTCCCCGCTCCGAGTAGTACAAGCAGCTAAAGCCCGACCACGCTTGCACCCCTCCGGCTCGCGGCAACGGGCGCGCGACCTTTGCCCTTCGCCCTTCCTTCGCCCTTCCTTCGCCCTTCGCCCTTCGCCCTTCGCCCTTCGCCTTTCGCCTTTCGCTCGGTCCGATCGGTAACGAGCCGACAGCGATCGGCGATCGGTCCACGCGAGCGAGAGACGGACGAAACCGGCGCCTCGCGTTTCAGTGGTACAACGCGACAAATAGGTCGGCGGGTGTTCCGGCATCGATTTCGGGAAAAATCTGCGAATCCGGCATGCGCGGTCGCGTCGATCGGCGAGCGCGGTAATTTTTTGGTACGATCGGGGATCGATCGACGAGAAATCTGCGACCGGCGCGAAGCGACGCGCGTCCTCCCGGTATTCTGTCCCGGCGTCGCAGTCCTCCGCTATAGTCCGAGTCGGGTCTAGTCGCGCTATAGCGACGCGCCACGGTGGCCTGCGCAGAGAGGATACGAGAAAGCGGTGTGCCAGGAAAGCTGTGCGCTGCGTGGACGAGGACGGTCGAGCTTCGCCGTGCGGATGGATAGAACGGACGACTGCGGAGGGAAGAGAGAGAGAGAGAGAGAGAGAGAGAGAGAAAGAGGGAGAATGGCGGAAGAGAGATGCCGAGACGGCGCTACCTGGAAGATCGAGCGAGAGACACCGTGTAGGAGGATTCGTGCGAGTAGTGGGCGAGAGAGACTCGGTGGAGAACCGGTACGCGGTCGGACAGAGAGGAAACGAGAAATACGACCGATGAGAACGAGCCAGCTCGGTACAGAGAGAGACAGGGAGAGAGAGAACGCGTGCTCGTGCAGCTCGCGTTCAAAGTTAACGTCTAGCTGCGCGGGTGAAAGAGCGACGCTAGAGAAAGAGGAAATCAGAGAGAGAGAGAGAGAGAGAGCGCCTCGGACCTTTCCCAGAAAGCAGAAAGCACGACGGAGCAATATCGCAGCGTCTGCCGGTGTTGTAAAACCGCTTTGATCTCGCTCGCTCGCTGCACCCGCGCGGTTCCCTCTGCAGCGTCTTTCCGATCGCGCCGACTCGTCGGAGAGTTTAGAAAAGCCGGTACCCGAGGCCGAGCCGCGCGCGTTCCGCTTCTTTTTCACGGAAAATTCGTAACGAGGGCCCCGATCGAGCCGTCTCGTTCGAACGTCTCGCGCTCGAACCCTGATTTTCGACGAACCCGGTCGATCGAGACCGTCGTTTTTCCAGGAAAGGATAGAACCGTCGAGGAAAGCAATTTGGAAATTCGCGTTTCCACGACGGTTTCGGTCTCGGTCTCGTTCTCTCGAGAAAATCGAGTTCAAAACCGACGCGCGTTCTTCCGAAGCGCGGCCGTGCACGACCTACTCGCTAGGAGCAGTCGCGTCGCGTAAACGTCGCGCGCTCTCGTCGATTTTGTTTTTATTCGGTTGGAATTAGAGCGACGAATACGAAAATTAGATTTCTCAAAAGCCGAGAGTGCCGGAGAACGTTTCTTCGATTCGCGTTAAACGGGAAACTCTGGAATACCGAGCAATCGGTTGTCGAGTCGCGGAATCGATCGCCGTTGCCTCCTCGAGTTCCTCCGAAACGAGGCTCGCCTGGAACGTCGGAGCTTCGATTTCCACCGAGATTCGTCGACGAACCGTTCGTTTCGTTATAAAATCACGAACGCGAAACATAGATCCGCGGTGCTCCGTATACGGGCGAGTCGATTTCGGATCCATCGATCGGCGAGCGTCGTTCTCGTTCCGTAAAGAGAAGCTCCGTGAAAAAAAGTCTGTACAGTTTGTCCGAGGAACGAATCGAGAGCTCGAGCGGCGGGGGTAGAGTTTCGCGGATCGAAAGCTCGCGACCTCCCCCAATCCGATGCTTCCGCTATTTCAAATATCTGCCTCGCAGGGGAGAAACGTTGCGCGATGTTCTCCGATTAAATAGAAAATTAGAAGCGAATTCTTGCCACCGTTAACGATCGTCGTCCCGCGAATCGGGCAGAGGAGAATATTTTCCTTCCGGTCGCGGCCACTCCCGAATCGATATCGGCCGCTTCGACGACCCTGTTGACCGTAAATCGCGAGAAAACCGAACGCGTAAATCGACGCGCTCGCAACTTTCGAAACCGACGTTGCTCAAAATTTGGTCCGTGATTTCGACGCGATCGGTCGAAAACGCATCGTTTCGTTCCGCGCCGAAAAATGCGTTCGCGTCGCGTTCCGACGGGTCGTATCTTCGCGTGGTCAACGCGTGGCACCGCTTTCGCGAACGAAACGCGTCAAGAAGAAGGCGAAACGGAGGAAAACGAAGAGAGAAGAAGACGATGTACGATGGAACGGCGAAGGAAGACGAGCAGAGGGATGCCGGTGGGCCGCTCTCCGCGCGCCTTCTACTTTCGCGTCGTAGCGAGAATTACGGCGCGCGGCCCCGCGCAAGCGCCTCGCTCTCTCGTTCGTTGAACCGTTCGCGAGAGAGACGCGGGTGCGCGTGCGACGAAGAAAAAGAAAAATATAAATGCGAGAAACGAGGAGATGGAGCGGGGGGCTGGGAGACTCGTGGACGATACCGCGCCGATTCTACGAGCGCCGCCGCCGCCGCCGACGCGGTGCCGGACTTTTCAATTTTCAAATCCGTTACGATCGGGGGAACGCGGCGTATCTCGAAAAACAAAATCTTCGTTGGGCGGTCTTCGAGCGGTCGAGCGGTCGAACGAGTCGTTCGTCGCGTCGGCCGGCTACGAATCTGGACGAACGAAAAATATTGTCCGGAAAACGATCGTAGGCGTTGCGCTTCCACGATAGATTCGTGGAACGCCGACGAGAGCGGACGCGACGGCACGGCCGCCTCGGTGTTCGCGCTAAATCCGTTCGATTTTTACGTCCGACTCGATTAGAATCCGCCGCGCGTCTTACGTAAATCGATAAAAGCGTCCACGGAACGATAGGATGGAAACGATTCGAACGACCCGTTCGCCGGCTTCGGATCGCCGCGTCGAATCGAGCGTTCGAATTCGGAGCACTTTCTTCCGTTCCTTTCTCGGCAGAAGCTATCGCGCTCGCTGCTCGACGTCTCTCGTTCGTTCGCCGTTCGCCGTTCGTCTTCCACCCCCGAGCCGCGCTCCGGGAAGCGCGACCTCGTGGTCAAGGTCGTACAATTTTCTTCGCGCGAGCTTTCGGCTAACCGCGAGTCGCGATTCCGGATGTTCGTTCGCGGACTCTCCCCCACCGTTTTCTGGATCGTCGCGATCGATGCGAGTTCGCCGCGAAAGTCGCGTGCAAGGATAACGATAAGAGCGACGCGAAGCGGATCGGCGCGCGGTCGCTCGCGCATCGTCGGAAACCTGTTTGGCGCACCGCGAGCGCATCGTCGCGTCTCGATACGATATCCCAGAGGCGGTCCCGAACCGTTCCGGGGACCTCGCTGTTCCTCGTTCCCATATTTTTCGGCGTCGTACCAATCGAGCGGGCCGTTGTCGTCGCGGACCGCGACGTCGGCCGAGTCCGTCGCGTTTCTTCTCCTCCTCCTCCGCCTTATCCTTTCCCAAGCGGGGAGGCCGTCGATCGCACCGATCGACGATGCCCGCGTCGATTCCACTCGAAAAAGTACGAGATCATCGTTTCGCGACTCTTTCGTGCTCGCGAATGATTTTCGCTCCGCTCGTTACGGTAATCGGCGTTTCGACGCGCGCTTCCTTGCCTCGAGCAAGATTTTCGGCGACTTATGCGCGTCACCGAGATATTAATCGTGCTGCTAGGAGAACGGATTTCGCGTCCGAACTGCTCGAGCCTCTCCGCGTTGCAACAAGGAGTTTCTCTTTTTATCTCGAGTCGACGTTGCGGTACGCGAACAGCGACGGGTTCGAAGCGCGTCCGATCGCGCGGCAAGAGAGAGCATCGATTCGTTTCGGACACCGTTCGCGTCTTTGCCGTTTTCATCGTCCTCCGAATCCGCCCGGCTCGATCGCCGACACCGTAACGATCTTCCAGTCGAGTATCGGTAAAATCCGTGTCCAGTGGGAAAGTTAAGAACAGCTTTCGTTGATTCTCCACTCTCCCGACCTCGTAGGCGTAGCCTAGTGTGCGCGGGATAAATAGGAGTACTCTGGATAGGCCGCAGAATATAACCGGACGCGCAATCGATGTCCATGGTGGCCCCCGATGATGCTCCTATTGCGTTGCACTCTCTCTCTCTCTCTCTCTCTCTCTCTCTCTCTCTCTCTCTCTCTCTACTTTCCAAAAAGCTCGATCGGCCAGTTTCTGAAATAACTTGAAAATCCGGTCGCGAAGGTATCGATCGCCGTGGCGCGACGTCGTCGTTGTCGTCGTCGGCGTCGTCGTCGACGTCGTCGAAGCTCGGTTCGATCGGCTGTTGAGAACCACGACGCGTGCCTACGTTTCGTAGCGTAGCTCCTGTAGACTGTATTACACATTCACGAGAGCCTCGGCGGAGGGGGCACCGACGTACATTGGCGCGCGCGTACAGTGCGCCGGTATAGAGAGTATAGAGTACGGTGTACCCTTCGTTTTTCGCTAGCGCGGAGGAGAGCCGAGGCTGGCCGAGGAGGACCGAGGTTGTCCGTCGAGAGGAATCGTCATCGACGCGGCGTGCGAGCAGCACCGCCGTCGGCACCGCTCCGCTCATTCTGCTCCGAGCCGTCGAACGCGACGCACGCGTCTCTTTCCGGCTGGACCCGTCCGATCCGATTCCGCTTCGTCTCTCCTATCAGGCCTCTTCCATCGGCGAGCGCGCGTATACGCCGGCTGGTGCTTTCTCCCGCTCGGAAGGGAGCTTCCGTTCTTCTTTCTCCCTCGCTCTCGCCGCACGAACGAGTCTCGGAAATCATCGAATCGTTCGGTTTTCCTCGCGCACGTCCATAATTTAACCCTCGAGTCTCGAGAAGCGACCGTTCTCTCTCTCTCTCTCCCCCCTTCCATCCGCCCTCTCGACGAGGCTCTCCCGCAGCGTGTTCCGCGCTCGATCGCGAGCACTCTCCTCTTCCGTGCCGTCGCGAACTCGCGGTTTTCCGATCGCCCGATCTCCGCTTTTCTCGCGCGGTCGCGGTTCGCCGATCCGATTTCGGAATACGTCGATGGAGGCAGTTGGTCGACGAAGGGGCCCTATCGGGGACGGGCGCGTCCGCGGTGGCGGCCGGGACCGGTGCCGGTGCCGGAACGGAGGCAGCCGAAGCTGCGAAACGACGTGAACGCGCTTCTCGTGGACCGAACGCCCAACGCCGCGTCGAGAATCGGGCCGCGAAGCGACACGAGCGCGAGAGCAGTCGGAGCAAAGGGATACAGGGATACGGAAATACGGGGACGCGGAGGAGACGCGAATACTCGAACCCTTTTACACCCGACTCGTCGCAGAGTTCTCTCGGATATAGAAAGGGTATACGGTGCGCATGGTAACCGAAGGCAGACGGAAACCTCTCTCGCCCTCTCGCTCTCTCCAAACGCTCCCACCGTTCCTCCGTTCGTCCCCGCTGGCTCGCCGCCCACCCACCGCCCCGGTCCACCCCCTTGTACCACCCTCTCTTCTCTCTGCCTGCTTCGAATCAATAATCTCTGACCAGGATTATATGCGAACCCCCTTTTTATTTCGGTCGCTCTGTAAGAAAGATACAGCGGCGACCGACGCAGCGGGAAAATCAACCGATTCCTAGCACCTGGCTGCGCGACGGACCCTCTCGGGAGCAGACGAGCGCCGCGGATTTTCGGCGTCTCTCTCTCTCTCTCTCTCTCTCTCTCTCTCGCTCGTCCCGCTTACCGGTGCGCGGTATCGGCGCGCGGATTATCGATCCCTCCATCCTTTTCGACCGCCCGCCGGTTATGATATTTCGAGAAAACGAGACGATGCGGGGAGAACGCGATCGCATTCGGACAGAGGTGACAGAGATCGATCGAAAGGTTTCGCTGCCCGGCGAGACGCGCGCGTCCCCTGCCGCGATCCAAGTCTCTCGCTCGTGATTCGTCTAACGGATATTCTCCTTTCTATGATCGCAGATCAACGCCTCCAGATGGAATCGCCTTCGGCCCAGGAGCACCGACAACTCGTCGAGGCGAAGGAGGCTACCGACTCGTCGAAGGCGCCGCGAACCCCGGGGATAGAGTCCGCGGCGAAGGCAGTGGACGACGCCGATCGCTCGAACGATCCCGATCCCGATCCCGAGGACGCGGCACGTCCATCCAGCGACGTCGGCGCCGCCGCGTCGCCGAAGCTCGAGCAGGACCCCGAGACGATGGGTCTGAAGTTGGACAAGTGCGACGGCGCGAAGGTCGAGAACAATGCGATCGCGATCGCGGTCGCGGTCGAGGCCGAGGCCGAGGCCGAGACCGAGTCGAGGACGAAGGAGAAGGAACCGGACGAACCACGAAACTGTGTCGACGCGATAACGACAACGACGACGATGACGACGACGACGACGATGACGATGACGACGACGACGACGACGACGACGACGGAGTGCTCCGATCAAGAAGAGGAGGGCCGTGCGACGATCGGCGGGGCTGGTTCGCCGATCGGCTCGCCCGCGTCCAGGAAGAGGCCGGCCAACGAGTTTCTGCCGATCGACGCCGAGATAAAACGGATCGGCGTCGAAAGCCCCGAGAACGACGTCGTCCAACCGAGAAGCGACGTCAGAAGGATCTCGCCGGTTCTGGTGAGCCTCCGGGAGCGTACTCTCGGCGAGATATCGCTGTCCTGTCTGTTCGACGAAGACGCGAACTCTCGGTGTCCCTCGCGGATCAACGGCAGGCTCTTGGACAACTCTCTGTCCGGCAGACCGAGCTTGAACAACGCCGCGGAGCTCGAGCCGCTGTCTCCCGGCGCGGAGCCCGGGCTGCTGTACGACGGGTCGTCGACGCCGGTCCGCGAGCCGGAAAGCGGCCGGGACGAGCCGGACTGCCATCGGAAGCTCGAGTTCTCCGACGCGTTCGACGACGAGAACTCTTGCTGTTCGCTGCCCGCCGAGAGTCCCGAGAGGAGGGATCACCGGCCGTGCCAGGAGAAGCAGTGCGAGGAACCGATCGAGACGTGCCCTTGCGAGACCAACGACGACGACCACCGGTCTCCTCCTCCGACCGTCGACAAGATCAAGGAGCCCTATCTGGTGGTGATGCTGGAGCGGCTCGACCGCTCGAACGCGCTCTCGTCGAACAGGGACAAGAAGAGGGGGGAGAGAGAGAACGACAAGACGAAGCGGGACGCCGAGACCACCGAGCCTAGGGACGCGGCGACGCCGCAGCACGACGATTCGGGCTCCGTTCCGAGCTGCGCCCCCCAGAACAAGGGGGGCCAGAAGACGACCGAATTCGAGTCGGCGAAGAAACAGCAAGGCTCGGCCATAATTACCAGGTCGAAGACGCCTCCGATCGACTCGCCGTTGTGCGAACTGAAGCAGTGCAAGGTGCTCTTGGAGAAGCTCGACTCGTCGCCGAAGGTACGGACGCCGGAAAGGTCGACCGTCGAAGCGCCGAAACCGACGAAGAAGAACGCCGCGTCTCCTCCGTCGATATCCTCCGCGAAATGCCTTCGAGCGTCGGACGATCGAATCTCGTCGTCGGACCAGCCGAGTGCCGCCGGCTCGTCGGTGGAACCGCCGTTGCCGGAGACCTCGGTCGCCGCGGACACCGAAACGGAGACCGAGACCGGCTCCGACAGCTCCGAACCGCCCCCCATGACGACGGCGCGTTTCCGGGCCTGCGGCGGCGGCGGCGACGGCGGCGACGGCGAAGACGCCGTTTCCGACCGAGCGTCTTGCCCCGAGAGCAGCAGCGAGTCCATGTGCTGCGTCGACGTCAACCCCGAAATCGTAACCAGGCTCGAGGCGGAGAGGCCCGAGGCCTTCACGGAAGACTCTGCCGAGAGCCTGGCGCTCGCCACCGGTGCAAGGGACGAAGTCAGGTCGGATGGCAGCGATTCCGGTCTCGGCAGCGAGGTTCCCGGGGATCCTGGACCAGCGCCGGCACCGGAAAGCGATTCCGAGACCTCGTTCTTGGATAGGATACCCGACGATATTCTTTCGGACAAGGAGAAGGGTGAGCCCGCTGATCAAATTCATCGTTTCGATCGCGCCAGATACTTCGCGCCGAAGCGCGAACGGTCGAATGTTCGAAATTGTCGGGAATGCTTCGCGATTTATTCTCAAAACCGTGTTACGTTCGCTCGAACGAGTCGCTTCGAATCGAAGCTCGTGCCGAAGTCTCGGCGATTGATACCACCACGGCTCGCCTGCCTCGTCTCGTCTCGCCTCGCCTCGCCTCGCTTCGCCTCGCCTCGCATCTCCTCGCCTCGCCTCGCCTCGCCTCGCCTCGTCCCGCCGCGCCGCGCCGCACCGCGCCGACAGAATGTCAAGTTCGATATCGTATTTCTCCGTTCGGGCCGAATAATGTTCGCTGCGCCGCGCCACCAGCGTACGCAAGAACCAAAGGTATTGTTAGAATACGATAGTCGCAACAGGTATTATCTTTCAGCCGTGAATCAACTGGACGGTTTCGTCCCCAACGTCGTCGTACCGGGAACGCCGCAGGCGCCGTTGACCGCGTTCCCCGGTCCACCGAAGAGCAATCTGAAAAGAAGATTGACGGACTGCATGGAAGGGGCTCCCAACCCGAAGAGGAGCAACACCGACGAATCCATGAAAAAGAAACGCAACATTCATTTCGACGCGGTTACGGTCTACTACTTCCCCAGGGCGCAAGGCTTCACCTGCGTGCCTTCTCAGGTGAGACGCGATTTTATAGGCAATAAGTAAATTATCCAAGCGGTTTTCCAGCAACAACAATATTCTATGTTCGACGGAACGGGGACTCGACGATCGCATCCTGCCGAAAACCTTCGAAAGAGAGCGTGTGCCGAGTCCCCGGAACGTCGACGCCGACGATAACGGACGCGAGAGACCGCGGCGATGACAACGACGGTGGGATCCGAGAGCGCGTATTAATAGAAATCGATCGATTGTCCGCAGGGCGGCAGTACTCTTGGTATGAGCGCGACCCACACTCACGCCGAAAGATTCTCGCTGTCGGAGCACGCCGCCGAGCAGAGGCGGATCCATCGCGCCAGGTTGGCCCAACTGCGATCCGAGAGGGCCGCGAATTGCGTGGCAGAGGCCGCGTCCAGCTCGGAGGATCCCAGCGACGACACCGACGAGGAGCAGAGCGACAACGAGGAACTCGATATCGATAGCTACTACTTCCTGCAGCCGGTGCCCACGTGGCAGAGACGAGCGTTGCTCAGAGCAGCGGGAGTTCGTAGAATAGACGCCGTGGAGAAGGACGAGTGCCGCGACATCAGAGCCAGCAGGGAGCACTGCGGTTGCGGGTGCAAGGGCTACTGCGACCCCGAGAGCTGTCCTTGCAGTCGCGCGAACGTCAAGTGCCAGGTCGGTGTAGGCCGAGAGTCGGGCCACGCGCGAACCAACCCGAGACGCGGTGGGGTTCGTCGCCCCCGTTCGACGGATTCGACCAGTTCCCGCGGTCGATCGTCTATCTCTGTTCGATGAAGCGATCGCGGTTATCGCGGGTCACCCTTTTCTTTTTTACCGCCGGATAATTCTGGTTATTCGGAGAGAGAGAGAGAGAGAGAGAGAGAGAGAGAGAGAGAGAGAGAGACAGCGAGAGAGAGCGAGAGAGAGAGAGACAGAGAGACAGAGATAGAGATCGGAGTCGCGGGCAAGATCGTACGGATAAAAAGGTGACTACTCAAGGTTTCGCGTGTGCATTGCAGGTAGATCGAGCAGGATTTCCGTGCGGGTGCACTCGCGACGGCTGCGCGAACAACTCGGGCCGGATCGAATTTAATCCAGTACGCGTACGGACGCATTTCATTCACACGCTGATGCGGTTGGAGCTGGAGAAGAAACAACGGGAGGAAGAGGACGGTACGGATCGTGACGCTTCCGACAATCAGAATGGTAGAAGCCCCTTGAGGGAGATCAATTTGGGGTCCGTGATGGAGAATAGAAATACAGAGTCGTGTTTGACCGGTGGCGGTTTCACGACGCTGCATTACGAGAACCACGATGCCGGAGACGGTGGGCCAAATTGTCAGCCGGACGTACCTGGCGCCAGAGAGGATAGTCTGGATCTGTACGCGATTAGAGACGATTGTTATCCTAGCGAGGACACTGTCGATGGTACGCAGGGACCTCAAAGGAAACTACATCCTGAGTTTAGTCAAGCGTTTCAAACGTTCTCGGGCCAATCCGGTGCCGGTGTGAACTTTCAGCAACCCGCTTATCAGGACTACCAACCTTACGCTAACCTTCCTTCCACGTCTAGGGTGCAATTCCAGCCGCAGTTTCAAGCGGTCCCGGGTACACCCGGATTCTCCCATTACGCGTCTTACGGACAGGACGCGGCGACCACGCTGCAGGAGAATTGCCAGGTCCATCCGGGTCAGCACGCGTCCGCGTACGAGGCCGCGTTCGCCCAGGACGAGACCACCGGATCCCAGTACACGAACCTGAACTCGGTCCAGCCGCACGCAGCTTTGCAACAGATGGGCAAACTGGAACCGTTCTCCGAGCTGCTGTCCGGCAGATACTCGTACTACGGTGAAATGGAACCGCCGGCGGCGCACGGTACTTATCACGCAAACGGAAAAGTCGAGGCGGAGAAGAGCCAAGGGAACGCGCAGCAGTCCGAGGCCGCGGAGGAGTGCGACGAAAACTTTGGGGAGATTATTAAAAAGTCGATGGTCGAGACCGTGTCCGCTTAAATTGGTCCAACCGTGAGTACCGAAAACACGATCCTCCGCGTTGTTGTTTGTCGAAACGCGTTCTTGTTTCGAGACGACGAGGATAGTAGGGGGACTTTGACGAGCTTCGAATCTCGTTGAAACGTCTCGCGCATACGGGCAATCGGGAAATGAAAGAGAGAGAGAGAGAGAGAGAGAGAGAGAGGCACTCTGGTGCGACCAGCTTTCGGCTTCCGTCGTTCCCGTTAGGTAAATCCGAAGTAGAAATTGTTTCAGTGGTTACCGAATCGGATCGGTACGGTTTCCCTGTTTGGGAACCACCACCACCACCAGTCCCGTGGATACCGTTGTTAGAAAAATTGATGCGGCTATGCGTGCGTCCGCCCGGGATGAAAATCGGCCGAGGAAGCAGGGCGGTTTCCTCGTCCCGTTCTAGCATAATTGTCGGTTGGCCGAACCGACCAGCCGTTTGGGGACAAGGGGACGCGGCTCGATTTGCGAAACGAATGAAAATTGCGTAGGAGAATCCGTTTTCGTCGAAAATCTCCGTTCGCAACAGAAATCGGTTTCTGTGGTCCTGCGAGACCGGTGTTGACAGACGCGAATTCAACGAGGTTGTGACCAAGAAACAACATGGGATCAGCTTAGATTGCAGTTTATAAGGAACCTTAACTTTAATACTTTAATAGTAGGATCGCGGGTCACGCGCGCGCCACCTTTTTAAAACGGGAGGATCATGCAAAATCTCGAGCAAATAAAATACACGAATCCAGAAGGTTGCAACACGACAACGAGCACGTATCATCGGGACGATAGTGTGTTTCGCTTTGCTGATGCGCGTGTAGGAGAGAGCGNTGCGTAGGAGAATCCGTTTTCGTCGAAAATCTCCGTTCGCAACAGAAATCGGTTTCTGTGGTCCTGCGAGACCGGTGTTGACAGACGCGAATTCAACGAGGTTGTGACCAAGAAACAACATGGGATCAGCTTAGATTGCAGTTTATAAGGAACCTTAACTTTAATACTTTAATAGTAGGATCGCGGGTCACGCGCGCGCCACCTTTTTAAAACGGGAGGATCATGCAAAATCTCGAGCAAATAAAATACACGAATCCAGAAGGTTGCAACACGACAACGAGCACGTATCATCGGGACGATAGTGTGTTTCGCTTTGCTGATGCGCGTGTAGGAGAGAGCGAGAGAGAGAGAGAGAGAGAGAGAGAGAGAGAGAGAGATACACGATCATGTACACACGGAAACACATTTGTAACACGAGATCTGTGAGCGATTGTGATACTTATGCATATGAAAAACAAAATGCAGTTTTGCCAGATGACAAGCAAAATAGGTTAAGGAAAATAAGTTATGGGACTTTTTTTATGCCAGTGTGTAAGCTGTCGAGTTCGAGAGATTTTTCAATCGACGACGATTGCCGATGGTGAACGATAGAGAATAGAAGTTTTCCTCGTGTTCTAATTAAGTACACAATGAATGCACAACACTGCACACATCCCACACAACACAACACACACATACACACGAAACACACCCCATCGCAATCTTAGAGGATGGTTGGGTAGCATAAGCAAGCGCACGCTGTCTACAGAATACAGACCGTTCAATTTGTTTTCGGTGCTCGTTCATCCGTCGCCCACTTACTCCGATTTCCTCGAGGTCGAACTATTTTGTTCGATATTTTGTACAACAATTTACGAAGTCGTACAGTTTTACCAATTATCCTCGCTTCGGAGGCAAACGGTTTTACACGCGCTGCCACTGTTCCGTGTATCAAGGTTTTCGTTTTCTTTTCAATCATCACTTTCCGTTGATCCTTTCACGATCCATATTTTTTAGTCGTACACCCCATGCCGTCCCGATTGGACGCCTACCAACACAACTCGTCACCGAATTATAATTTCGTCCAGCCCTGTGACACCGAGTTCCGCGTGTCGGCGATCCCCCCGCGAGCAATTTTGAAATTTCATTGTATAAACTATTTATTGTTTTCACTTGTATACACTTTTATACAGAGAGAATATACGAGTAGAACCAATCGATACATTGTTCACCTGTGGACGCGTCAAAGGTCGCAAACTCTAATTAAAAAAAAAAACAAAAAGAAAAAAAAACAAAAGAGAAAAGTCAGCCGTTAACTACACGGGACGTCGATCGTTTTTCCTTCAACGGAACTGACACCTCGCTCGTCGAACGGAATATTACACGTGTATTCGAACGGAGACGAAACAAGAAGACAATTGCAAAAGAAGGAAAGCGACAAAAAAGAATTAGAAGAGAAACCCGAGCGTGAACTTTTTTTTATTTCGAAAGAAGACGAACCGACGGACGAAGTCTGAAGGCACAGAAGTTGCCTTACGCGGACGTTCATTTTGCACCGATCCACCCCCGCCCCCTTCGTTGATCCAGCCCTCGTAGATTTTCAGATACGAATCTAACCCAGACCTGTTTAGCATCCCGGGACGTTGATCGCTAAATACCCTACGATTAAATTGAAATATTACACGTTAAGGGATAACTACAATGATAAACGACGATAGTATTAAATGAAACAAAAAAAAAAAGATGAAGCGAACTTTATACATAATTTACTGGACGTGTCAGCTCCCGAGCACCTTTGTCGCTCTTCTATTTCCGCGGTTCTACACTGTGTTCATCGTCGCTGATTGGTGCCTAAATCGTTACGTTTGTTGTCAGTGTACAATGCTAACGAGACTATCTCACGTTCGAAAATAGAAGAAACGAGGGGTTGAGTGTGAGTGAGTGCGTGCGTGCGTGTGTATGTATGTATGTGCATGCGAGTGTACGAGTGTGGGTGGGAGAGAGAGAGAGAGAGAGAGAGAGAGAGAGAGAGAGAGGAACATGCGTAGATATACAATTCAATCAACGGATAGAAATCCCCGTTGACGCGTTGCGAGGGATGCGACACCTCCGTAACCGACATTAAAAAAGTATACATATAAACCTACACCGTATGTAAGTAACTTTTAGAGTATTTGAGTAAAAAAAGGCATACATAGTTGATAGCGTTTTATTAAATGTTGTGAAAAAGTCTTTTCGTCTGTCGTGTAACGTGTTGTCTCATTGTGTATGCGTCTCGTTCACGTATTTATTATATCACACCCTCTCTTCTCCTTCTCAAACCCCACGAGTCCTTTGTGTTCGCCATTTTCTCATAGCGCCTGGAACACGTGTTACGAGAAAGTTGTCCTCCGATGTTACACGGCCAGGTTGTTCCAGAAGCAACATCGTTTTCTACCAAATTCGAACGAGCAGCTAAAATCCGTCGATTTTAATACGAATCGTTCGAACGATAATAACGAGAAAAATAACCTCGACATTATTCCCGAACTCTTGATTCGATCCTATCGTCGTCGATCGCCCCCCGTTCATGGTTACGCTTGTACGTGTCCGCCAACCGGAAGCCACTTCCGCAGAAACGTTCTCCTCGCAGCAATTACTTCGCTCGACATTATTCAAAGACCCATGCAATCGAAGCAACGTGCCGTTAACGCGCGTTAATATCCTCGATCTCTGTATTCCCTGCCTAGAAACTAGGCTACCCCAACCTAAATCGTAAATATCGTACGAATCCGCGTTTACGAATGCACGCGTCTCGCGTCGACCATATATGTCAAACTTTTGTTCAAAGTCGTTCGAAATTGGTCGCGCTTCGTTGGAGCTGCGCGCGCATCTTCCATCGGCAAGATGGCGGACGTAGCGGGAACGTCGTGCGCGTAACAGTTCCGTAAACGATTCCTCGATTTCTGGATCTCTCGGTGTCGTTCGAAAACGAGATCGCATCGGAAAGGTGGTGTTCGACGCGCGGGAACCGATAACGCTCGCGGCATTGCGTACGCGTAAGATAATTCGAGCATAAACGTATCGATGTCGACGGTGCGTTCGTGCGTTACCTTGTTCAACGAGGAGTGGGGAAACGGACGCTGTGGTAGGGAATGGCAGTAGCGAGAACGGCGAGTCGAGTCGAGTGGTCGAGTGGTCGAGTGGCGTGCCGCTGTAAGTTAGCGGCTGTTCGCGAGCCCGTGCGGAGGTTAGTTTGGTTCGTCGATCGAATTTTTGCTCGGTCCGTGTTCTCCCGACGAACCGGTGAGAGAAAACGAATGGAACGCGGCGGGCTCGAATGACGCGCAGAGTGCAGGCCGCGTGTTCGCGATTCAAAAGTCGGGGACGGGGACGTGTTTCGTGAAAACGAGAACGAGCGCCAGGCGGTTATACGACGCGACGGCGTGCTGGTGTCGTTGACGTTTCGTACGTTTCGCGTGTCAGTGTCCTGTCCTCTCCGTCCGTACACGGTAGCTCCCTCTTTCATTCCCTCTTTCTCTCTCGCCCTGTCCCTCTCCTTCCATCCATCGTCCTTCCCAGCTTCTCCGTCCTTGTTCGTTCCCGTTCAACGTTCGTTGTCCGCGTCGGAGTCGCGATCGGGATCGGAATCGAGATCCGTACCAGCCGCGTCGTCGCTGCGATGCCAGATGACAGGTGCGAAGCGGTGCCACAGGTGTCTGTTAACGAGTCCTTCGAGTGCCCTGCGGATTTAGGATACGCCGCAGAATGATGAGCCCAAGGTTCCATTACCGGAAGGGCGGCAAAGAGGACCGAGGACGACGACCACCACGACGACGATCTCGAATTCCCTCGCGCTAGCGGTGGGCTATGAGCGCTGACAATGGGGACGACTCCTTGGTAATTATCATACCTTTCTCTTTTTTATTACTCCATCTTCTTTCGTTCCTCTCGGGCCCCTGCCCGTCTCTCTCTCTCTCTCTCTCTTTCTCTCTTGCTCTCTCTCTCTCTCTCCTGTCTCTTATACACATCTAGATGTGTATAAGAGACAGCTCTTGCTCTCTCTCTCTCTCTCCTGTCTCTTATACACATCTAGATGTGTATAAGAGACAGCTCTTGCTCTCTCTCTCTCTCTCCTGTCTCTTATACACATCTAGATGTGTATAAGAGACAGCTCTTGCTCTCTCTCTCTCTCTCCTGTCTCTTATACACATCTAGATGTGTATAAGAGACAGCTCTTGCTCTCTCTCTCTCTCTCCTGTCTCTTATACACATCTAGATGTGTATAAGAGACAGCTCTTGCTCTCTCTCTCTCTCTCCTGTCTCTTATACACATCTAGATGTGTATAAGAGACAGCTCTTGCTCTCTCTCTCTCTCTCCTGTCTCTTATACACATCTAGATGTGTATAAGAGACAGCTCTTGCTCTCTCTCTCTCTCTCCTGTCTCTTATACACATCTAGATGTGTATAAGAGACAGCTCTTGCTCTCTCTCTCTCTCTCCTGTCTCTTATACACATCTAGATGTGTATAAGAGACAGCTCTTGCTCTCTCTCTCTCTCTCCTGTCTCTTATACACATCTAGATGTGTATAAGAGACAGCTCTTGCTCTCTCTCTCTCTCTCCTGTCTCTTATACACATCTAGATGTGTATAAGAGACAGCTCTTGCTCTCTCTCTCTCTCTCCTGTCTCTTATACACATCTAGATGTGTATAAGAGACAGCTCTTGCTCTCTCTCTCTCTCTCCTGTCTCTTATACACATCTAGATGTGTATAAGAGACAGCTCTTGCTCTCTCTCTCTCTCTCCTGTCTCTTATACACATCTAGATGTGTATAAGAGACAGCTCTTGCTCTCTCTCTCTCTCTCCTGTCTCTTATACACATCTAGATGTGTATAAGAGACAGCTCTTGCTCTCTCTCTCTCTCTCCTGTCTCTTATACACATCTAGATGTGTATAAGAGACAGCTCTTGCTCTCTCTCTCTCTCTCCTGTCTCTTATACACATCTAGATGTGTATAAGAGACAGCTCTTGCTCTCTCTCTCTCTCTCCTGTCTCTTATACACATCTAGATGTGTATAAGAGACAGCTCTTGCTCTCTCTCTCTCTCTCCTGTCTCTTATACACATCTAGATGTGTATAAGAGACAGCTCTTGCTCTCTCTCTCTCTCTCTCTCTCTCTCGCTCGCTCGCTCGCTCGCTCTTTCTCGCTCTTTCTCGCTCTTTCTCGCTCTTTCTACTCCTACAGCCACGCACACTATCGCGGACCTAGGTTCCGCGACGGGCAACGAGGCTTTCGCAGGTTGACAGCACGCCGCGCCGTGCGGAAATTATCGTGGATTTGAAAGCTCTTTCTCTGATGCAACGTCGTCTCGCAGCAACCAGTCTCTCTGGTAGACTTTAGTTCTGGAATAGAAATATTTTTTATCGGAAGATTGCGAATCCTTATGGAAACTTGGAACGAATAGGAGAAATTGAATCGTAGGGGTCCTTACGGTAAAAGGAAAGTCGATCCGATTTATAGGACTCCGACGTCGATGGGAGCCCGTGTAACGGAGTAGCGCCATTAAAATTTTCTGTTACAATGAAAAAGTAGAAATGGATATGCTCGCGCGAGGCTTGTTTTAAATTCGACAAACGTACGAAAGCCTGAAGATTCGCAGTCTGAACCAATCTTCGGTTCTCGACGTTCGCTCGCCCACATTTTTATCGTTTAGTCGCAGTCTTTTCGTTTCATTTCCTACGTTATCGCACGCATTTGTTTCCATTTAATTCAAACAAATGGATTCCGTTGGGCTCCCCATTTTAAAAAAAGGATGCAACGGCAAATTCGATCCGTTCGCAGAGTAAACGGTAAAAAGGAAAATACGTAACCGCGGAAAAAAGTTCGAAAGTTTCGAAATACAATTCTTACCGATAAACGATTCGATTCGAAGACGGGGACAATAAAAATCTCGCATCCCGAACGTTTCTCGTTACCTCGCGCGTCTCCGGTGTCGGGTTACCCGCTTCAAGACCGGTTTTCATTTATTCGTAGAGGCGCGTCGTTTTCCTCTTAATTTTATACGTTTTTTCGTCGATTCGTTGGCAACGCGTCAGCGTCGAACAGCCGTTCCGAACAAGTTCGAAACGATTATCGACCCGTTGCGCGCGTGCCGCTTCGTTGGACGTTTTCTTTTCACGTCGAAGCCAGCCATTTTCGTTTCATCCCGTTAAATCGAACAGAATCGAACGAAACGGAACGATTTGTGTGTGTGTGTGTGGACAGGATTCGTCGTCGAGGCATCGGAACGGATCATCGATTTCGATTCACCTTGTACACAACGAGTTTTCGACCTTTCGACGATCGCTACCAACGACGACCGATCGATCCGTGCGGTATTCCGAGCACGAATGTTGTGCTTAAATTCGTTGCTTCGAACCGGACGGTAAATTCGACGGATACGCGTCCTCCGTCGTTCCGCTTGCGACGCGTGTTCGAGCGCGGTTGGATCAGCTGGAACGAAAGAATTGGACACCGCGTCGAGTAACTTTAACGCGTTTAGAACGTAACAGCGATGGAACATTTTTACAACGCGTTTCGTAAACGATGCTTCCGCGATGGAAACGATTGGAAAGCCGAGTAGGAAGAACCAACGTGGCGATGAAAACCCGGTACCAGCACCGGTCCACGGTGTCGATTGCCGACAGACACGTTGGTCCCGCGGTCACGTGGTCGTCGCGACCCTCGCGTCGACACCGCCGACGGAGCGAACTCGTCCGCGCGGAGTAAAAGTAATTTCTCGGTCCGATGATATTTCTTGCTCGATCGCCGCGGTTGCGAAACTCGATTTCGCGATAGAACCGCGGGTACGAGGCAGGACGAAACGAGACGAGACGAGAGCGGAATATAGAATTTTCGGTTGGAACGACCGCGAAGCAACGCGTACGTGCTCGAAATCGCTGGGAACTCGCGGGACGATGCGCCCGATGCGCCCGATGCTGCGATAATTCCATTACCGTGCCCACCGTATTCGTTCGACGCGCAACGCCGTGAATCCTTAGAAAAGCTCTCGTAAAAGCTGCGAACCGCGGCACCCGTATTCTCGATCCTGTGGAATGCGCGATACGCGCGCGTTGAAGGTTCCGAGAGGAGGATAGCCCGGTAGACGGTTCGACGGGGGACGCGTTCGACGAGTCGCGTTCGACGAGTCGCGAGTCGACGAAAGCCGCGCACGCGAAGGTATGCCCGCTATCGGGGGACTCTGCGTTCGCGTCGGAGATCGATCGGTCGGACGAATCGTTTCCAAACGATACGCGCAACGTAGACGCGAACACCGTCTTCCGGACCTTGTAGATATACTTGGCCTAAAGTGAAAGCGTTCGGGGACGTCTCAAGGTCGCTCGAAAGTTCTTCGAACGATGCCTACACAGGAGGTACGCGTTCATCCTTGAGGCGGACAATCGAGATTTCATTGAACGCGTTCGAAAAGCGAGAAGCGCGGCTTCTATACCTGTATCTATACCTGTGTACATATAGCCGCGGCTATACCGTCCTCCCGGCATCGTCCAGCGCCATTTTGAAAAGGCCGTTGCGATTTCAGAGTCCAAAGTACGCGTCGTTGATTTCTCGCGCGCCTCGGCGATCGAATATTCGTAGTTTTCCCGCCTTCGGGGAATAATACGAGAAATCGATGCCGACCACGGCCGGTCGAGGATCGCGTTCACGCCACGATACATCGTAGTCGCGTTATTTTCGCGGAACGCCGCGGGCAACCCGGTCGACCGTTTATCTTTCTCTTCGCTGTCCGCGAGAGCCGTCTGGAAAGTTTTTTCCTCGATTGGAAACTCCGCGATCGCGTCGACCGTACCGAGATCTCGATTCCGCGGCGATATCTCGCGCGTTAGCAGCGTTGCGAGAAAGGCGGCAGGACGCCGGGCAGCGCCGAGCCGCGCCGAGCCGCGCCGAGCCGAGCCGCGCCGAGCCGCGCCGGTACAACGCTTATGAGAATGCAAAGTAATACGTGTCAAGTCTAACGAGGCGCGTCGCGGAATGCAGGAGGCGAGAAAGAAGCGCCGAGCATCGCCGGCGCGAACGCGAGCGGGTCGCTCCTTTCTAGAGCCTGCCTCCGAAACCAGATCGCTTCGAACACCCTCGAAACCCAGAATCCGATCGTTCGGCCTGCCGCCTCCGAGTCGTCGAGAGTCGTTCGGTTCGCAGCTGCTCGGGTTTTCGAGACGATTTCGGGTACCCGAGCAGAGCTTCCTTGAACCGACTCGCGGACAATGATATTCGACTCCCGGCTCGCTCGGCCAGGCGACCAAAGACTTTCGAGGTTCTCCGCCTCGGTTCGCGGCTACCTGGACGAAGAGAACGCGTTCCTCCGGCGCCTCTCTCGAAAAGCTCGGCCGCTCGAGAGAGAACAAAGAAGGACTCGCCGCGAGAAACTCGAACGCCGAACGAGTCGATCCGGTGCACCCGACGGATGCTAGCCGTGCCAATGCCACGGGCCACGCGTACCGTTGCTTCCAGCTTTCCAGCTTTCCAGCCTTCCAGTCGCGCGACCCGAGTTGCGCGCAATGTACGCAGCTGCCGGCACGGAAGCTGCCGGAACTTTCGATTTTCCGTCCAAAGCGCCGTCGTTCGTCGATCGTTCGTACAGGCGTTCGTCGAGTAGGAGGGCGAACGATTCGTCGAGCGAGCGAACGCGCGTCGAGAATCGGCGAGCGATTCGTGAAAATCAGGAACGCGAGCCGTTGTCCGTACGCTTTCGCGCGTCGCGTCGCAACGAGTAGAACCGCGGGAAACGGAGACGCGGAGAGAGAAAGAGAGGGAGAGATTCCTCTCGTTTCGTACCACGTTCCGAATGGACATCCGCCTTTCTCACGATCGAACCGACTCGTGAGAACATCGATTCGTG